ATAGATATCAGTTCTTAATTAACATTCATATATATATATATATATATATATATATATATATATATATATATATATATATATATATATATATATATATATATATACACACAAATAGATAGATACACATGTAAATCAGTATGCACCTTATGATTCTTAATTACCCTCTGCAAAATGCCTGAGGGTTGTAACATATTTGCAAAGTAAACAGCTTACACATTGTTGTATGAATCATTAGTTGGGCTATGTGAGTGTAACACAACCCAATGGTTCCTTAGGCAGTAAATAGTGATTATATATATATATATATATATATATATATATATATATATATATATATATATATATATATATATATATATATATATATATATAATACAAATAGATACATACAAATGTATATCAGTATGCACCTTTTGATTTTTAATTACCCGGTGCAAAATGCCTGAGGCTTGTAACATATTTGCAAAGTAAACAGCTTATTCATTGTTGTATGAATCATTAGTTGGGCTATGTTAGTGTAACTCAACCCGAAGGTTCCTTAGACAGTAAATAGTAATTTTATTAAAATATATATATATATATATATATATATATATATATATATATATATATATATATATATATATATATATATATATATATATATATATATATATATATATACTTTAATAAAACATTTTAATAAAACAATCACTGGCTGTTGTTTCAGAAATTACTAGATAATGGGTTACCCAAAAAACTTGTTAGTTTGCTTACATTTTGGTATAGTAATCAACAAATGTTTGTTCAATGGCAAAAAACAAAATCAAATAGTTTTAGAGTTGTCCCCACTTCTATTTAACTTTTACATACAGAATATGATTTTATTAATCTCAAAACTATGTATTGGATGTAATATAGGTGGCTTATGCTGATGATATGGTTTTAATTGCACCATCTTGGTATTCTCTTCAAAAACTAATTAGCTTTACAAATAAGGAATCTTCCTTAATTAACATATTCTTTAACACAAAGAAAACTGTATGTATGGTGTTTAACCCAACTCAAAAATTATATCAAACTCCTTCCCAGAATTACGCATATCAGGCTGTAAAATTGTTTTTGTTGAATCTTTTAAATAACTTGGCCATATAATTAAAAATGACCTAACTGATGATCTTGATATAACCAAGGAGATGAAGGGTCTTTACACACGTACAAATATTTTAACTAGACACTTTCATTTATGCTCTACCAGAGTAAAGGTTAAATTGTTTAAATCATATTACATTTGTTCATATGGTGCTCCTCTGCAGCAAAATTATAATGATAAAACAATGGCACGCCTTCATTATTGCTACAACAAATGTGCTAAAACGTTTTTTGGCTACATCAAGTATGATCTCATGCTTTTAAGGCACAGATTACCATCTCTTCATACAATTATCTCGAACTACAGACATGCTTTTTGTAAAAAGTTGATGGCTTGTTTCTTAGTAAATAATTCCATGTGCTCTCTTAATCAAAGTTTAAAATATATAAATATATATATTAGTAAAAAAACTCATCTAACCAGGAAGATATCTTTTTTCTTAGTTAGATGAATTTTTGATGTTGAAGACAAAAATTAGATAAGTGTTTTAACTATTTTATTATTGCTGTTCTTAAGAACATTGAGCACTCTGTACTTGCAAAAGGTTCTAGAATAACCTAACATAATTTAAAAAATTAGACATTAATAATTATACCTGTATTTCTTTTATTTTCTCTTTTGTTTTTGAGTACAATATTTTAAAAGATTTATTATTATTCAACCATTAATTATCAGGGTACAACTGATAAATGTAAGTTGAAATAATAATTACTTTCATAAAATTACATGTGTCTTTAGATCTTTCATACTTTGATTGATGAAAAACAATAAACGCTTAAATATCTTGTAACGTATGTCACCAAAATAGCAGAAAAAGAACTTAGTAACAACATATAAACTTAGTAGTTAGATAAGTTAAAGCTTTTCGTACTTTTTATAAGTGGGATAAAAGTTTGTGACGCAGCAGAACTAAAACTTGGTAGTGTATGATTATCAATTTCAATCTACTATAATAAAGTTGATGATATTACTTTTGCAGTTGCAGAAAAAACCAACATATCCTGAGTTTTTTAAAAACTATGAAAATTTAAAACCATTTAAAAAATCTTTGATACAATGTTTTTTTGTTATGTTTTACACTTATAAAGTTACTTTCTCACTGCTATTATAAAGTAAGATTGCATCAAGTTGTAACAATAAACATTCTAAAGTAACCAGAGTAAATATTAATTTTGACTTTCAGCAAAGTAGTTTCATATTGAAGATAAGAAGATTAATAAAGGTAACAAGTTTATACAAAACAAATACAAATTATTAAACAGTCTGTTCTCCTATATTCTTTATTTCCATTCAACTCTAATTTTGTTCGTGCTTTTTTTTTTTCACTTTTTCAATTTTCAAACTTTCAAACATTTTAAAAATATAAATATGATTGAAATATGCAACTTTAATCTAGTCAATGTAAAAGAAGTAGTATGTAAAGCAATAACAAATCTTCAAGCGCAATCTCTGTATTTTCAAATTCCGTTCAGTTTTCTGGGGCTTTCCAATATGGCGATTTTGGCATCAATTTTGATATTAGAGATGCGCTATCCAGTTATTATAGAGATCAGTGGTCGTGATCCTTAAATTACGTTAATGTAATAAAGTATTTTGGTTGCTGCGACACAAGTTTCTTTAATTTAAAGTTTTTAAAGTGAAAGATTCGCTGCACTCTCAATAATTTTGTCTAAAAAAATGTTTTCTAGTTAAAGAAAAAGAGGAATGAGTGTGAAGTTAAATTGAAAATTTGCCCAGCTGGATCATTTATTTATGTTTCTACCAAAGATAAACAAATTATTTTATGTTAATTTTATTTATCTAATTTATCTCACAATCATATTTAAGCCAAGATTGTGTAAGTTATGTAACCTTTGACCTGTTATTAGTCTCAATAGCAAGAGTTAAAAACTTTAAGTTAGATGAAACTAAATGAATACTAAATTTTACAGAGAAGTAAAAACAAAAATTTAAGATACAAGTAAAACAACCTACTTATTTAATTTACACAATTTCTCCATTAAATATAAATATTGTAAACATTAAACCTAAACCTAAAACTAACACATTGAGTTTTAAATAAAAAAATTTACTAAAATTATGGAGTAGTTTTAGTATTACTTGTTATTGAATTGTGTTTACCTAATGATGTTTGGTTTCCACAACTATCATCTTTTCTTTCACTATCTCTGTTACATACTTGCATAAGTAATACTTATTTGACTTCACAACTTCTGCAAAAAACTTTTTTGTTTAATTATGCACCAAAGAAACATAGCAAATTAAAAGTAGTTATCTAATGCATAACTAAAACTAAAAAAAAACTTTTCTAAACTACTTTCCAATGGCAATATATGCAATCAACATTTTTCCTATTCCAGTTTTTGTCCTCTCCCTGCATAGTTAAATTTTACAGTAGGTCATTTTTAAAAACTATTATAAGTGAAAGCAGTGGGTGAAAAAATTAATAAGGTTTGCAAAGACTTAACTAATGTTAGAAAATACAGAAACTAGCTAGTTTTTAACTATAGTCAAACTCTAATTTCCCAAGTATTAAAAACAATGACTAACATTTGAACTTTCAAAAAAACATATCGTCTAGATCGTAGCCATCAGCAGAAGAAATGCTAATTGTCCTAATTGTCGTAAATTGTAGGAAAATTATAAAAACATGGATTTAGTTATGGATGATGAAAGCTATTTTACCTTAAACAATAGCACATTAGCTGGTAATGATAGGTTTTATGCCGCTGTTGGTAAGATACAACTTGCGTAAAAAGTACAAGAACAAGCTATTAGTTTCTTGTTGCATCAGCCCCCATGGAATAAGCCCTCTTTATATTCATCACAGTAAGTAGGCAATCAACCAGTACACTTATAAAAAGATACTAGAAAAAACTTTACTTCCTCTAGTGTCAGAATAATATAAAAAAGACTAAGCTAGCTTGATCACATTATGCAAAGTCGGTCATCGACTTTTTAAAATTGAAAAAAATCAAAGTTGTACCCAAGGAGATAAAACCCAGCTAACCACAAGCAAGACCAATTGAAAACCTTTGGGGTGGTTTAAAATGGTTAGTGTACAAGAATAATTGGAGAGCTGAGAATTTGGAAGAGCTTGAAGCAAAAATTAGAATTTGCTATTCAAAGATGAATAAAGAAACTTCCTTACTCAAATAAAACATCTTTCAAAAAAACATAACATTGCTTATTATGGTATTTGAAATAATTATTTTAATATATTTATAAACTACAGATACTAACATATTAACAGTTGAAATATTAAATAGTAAAACTTATTAGTTCTTAAAATTTTAATTTTTAAGATTTGTTCAAAAATTTTATTTATGAGGTGTTATTATACTTTTATATTTTTTTAGTTTTTTGATTTTTAGTTTAAAATAAAAATGACTATATTTTATTAAAACATTTTAAGGGGTTCAATGAAAAGATTGCGACAACCTTTTGTCATTCTTATCTTCTTTAAGCCCCTGTCTGTTTAATTCATAATCTAATAACGATCATTAAAAAATCCATTGCGTTTTATATTTTATATACAAAACGGTGCCTGGTAACAAGATGTTCAATTTTACTATAAATATGTACGTATTTTTTTGTATATATAAGTTGATTGTATATATTAATCAGCGATATAAATGTAAATAAAAAAAATTAAAAAAACTTCTTATAAAATCTCTTTCGTCTTTAACTCTAGTTTGTCACAATTAGTTAACATGCAAAATTAGACAACCTTGCAATATTTAAAGTTACTTTTGGTTAGACTTAAATTAGTATAAAATCTTATTTACTAATTGTATTTTTTTTTCAAACAATATGAAGTATATAATTTAAATAAATTTGTTAAATAGAATTTTGCTTTGTTTTTTAGTATAAATGGATGGAGTCTTACAAAATCAAGAATTTTAAATTGAGTTGTCAGTACTACTTGATCAAGATTGATTTAGGATTGGTATTTTCTTAAATGTCTCAAAAGATAGTTTAGAATCAATTAAAAGTGATTCTATAAATTTTCGAAAACAAGAAGACAAAGCATATGAAATGATAAAAAAATGGTTCAATATAGATGAAAATCCAACGTTAAATAAATTAAAAATTGCCATATTAAAAATTCCAAAAAAAGATTTATGGAAGAAGGTGGAGGATCTTGCAAGTACACATTTTTTTATTATTTGTATTATATAAATTACATAAATACTGTTCGTTAAAGTTTAATGATAACTTACAGAACAAATTTATAAGACAATGTTTTAAATAAACTAATTTGCTCACAAAAAAATTCATAATTATTATTGTTGATGACAATGATAATGACAATCATGTTCATTCTTTCATTTTTTTAATATCTTAATTTAATTTAAGCCAATTTTATATATTAGGTTTTTGACTAGTGTTATACCTATTCAAAATATATTTCTGTTTATTAAACCAGGTGAGTCTTTAACAATGCCTTCATATTAATCAGAAGATGCTTTGAATAAAGTTATTTCTTAATTAAATAGAGGTAAATAAAGAAAACAAATATGGATGATTATAACAATGAAAATAATAATAATGATGACAATTATCACGATTATGTTAAAAAACATGATCGAAATGATGATAATTGCAATGATTATGATGAATACGTTGGTAATCATGTTAGTTTAAATAATCAATGTAACACTATAGAATAAAAAATTTTGATAAACTTACGTATAAATATAAGTTCAAAAATTGAAAATGTAAATAATACACATAAAAAAAAGTCTAAAAAATTGTTTTTTCTACAACAAGGCAACAAATAGTAAATGCTTATATGGAGAGTTATCAAAAAATTAAAAGAGTAAATATCCTATGATTGCATACCTATACCAACATGAAATAATTGTATTCAGGTATTAAATAAGCTATTTTTATATTTGCTATTTTTATTATATAAAATGAAAGAAATTGTTTCACAAATCATGTAGATGAAATTCATAAAACGTTTAAGTCTTTTTATTTTATAATAAAATAATAATTTTAAATAGATAAAAAATTAAATGTATAATACCATATTACTGATGAAAATGTTTGTTGATTATAAAAACGAAATCAATTTTTTGGGTTTTGATTTTTGCTACAAATTAATTATTTATTTATGAAGGCCGGATTTAACTTGTATGAAGCCCTAGGCAGAGTCCATAGTAAAGATAAATAATTAAAGTTTTTTGGCAAATAATAAGGTTTTAAGGTTTCTAAATATTTTTGTCAAGTATATATGTTATGGAAACCATGAAACAATGAAATATTTGCATTAAATACAAATTTTACATACAATTTTATTACATACAGGGCTCGAATTAAGTGATCGCGAATTGCGATATCTGGAAATGCTTCTGGTCTTTAAAATTTTAGCTTTTTAAAAACCGTAAAACTGTTTTGTTCACTAAACTCAATAGATATCATTTAATAAAAAATATTTACGCCGATTATGATATTAAATCTTAATGTAAAACCATATTGTCACTATTATTTTTATTATTATTAAAGATAATAATTTAAACTTAAATATTTTAATTTATTTTATAAAACATCAGATAAAACTAGAAAAATAAAGCACCATAAAGTGCCATCAAATAATAAAAAACAAGCGCTAATCACAACAGTCTAAAGGACTTTAACAGTGATTGAATATTTTAAATAAAAGAAATTGTTAAATAAGATATAAATACTTTAAAAAATTTTATTTAAATCTTATTTAATATTTTTTTATAAATTTAATGCTCGTAACACTTTAGCTGATACGAAGATAAAATTAAAAGACGGAGGAGTTAATATATAAAAACTAATTTAAATTTTTTAATAGTTACTTTAAAACCAAAAAAAGAAACTTTAACATATTTTAAAAAAATATACTTTATCATTTTTTTTCTTATTAAACAATTAAATTTTTAAATAAATAATTCCATAAACTTTCCCCCTAAATAAAAATCTATTTTTATGTTTTATATAATGCGCAAGTACCTTTAGCATACTTTTAAATTGTTGTTTTTTTATACAAAGTTTTATACAATGCGCAAATAGCTTAAACATATAAAATTTAATTTATATGTTTAAGCTATTTGCTTAAATTTTGCCGCAATTTAAAAATCAACCAATGAAAAACAAATAGTTTTTCATTGGTTGATTTTTAAATTGCGGCGAAAGTTTTTCAGACCTTTAGTAATAATTTTTGTCTTGCAAATTTTTTTCATTTATAATCTTAAATCTTTTCATTTATAATCTTTTTTCATTTATAATCTTTTTTCAAATATAATCTTTTTTCATTTAAATCTTTTTTCATTTATAATCTTATTAATTATTGTTTAAAAAACAATAACTAATAATATATAAATTTTGTCTGTTATTTTTTTTGCAGTTGTAAATTTATTGTTTTGCTTTTTCATTAATTTTTGCAATATGATAAACTGACCGTTTCATTAAAACAGTGTTTACCCTTTTTAAAAAAACTAAGAATTTAATGACATCAGATTTTATTTCTCTTGAAAAGATATCAATGAAAAAATCGTCAAGTGTTTTTTTATAATTTGACATTACTGGATAATGTAGGAAAAGTTATTAAAATCATATTGTTGCATTGTTAATCTTTACCAGTTATCAATTCATTTTATTCGGAAAGCCTACTCCATTTAAACAATAAGTAATCATCAAAAATATAAAAATATTAAAATTGTGTTTAGGTTAGGAAATGCTAAGACCATTTTTTTTTTAATCAACCTATATAGGAATAATTGTGTCAAAGTAGTATCTGGTAAGATTGTAAGATTGTGGCTTTGCAAAATTTCATGAAACAATAAATTATCTCCATAATACTGCTAAACAATTTTATAAACACTTGTTTTCAAAATCTGATTGGAAATATTAGTATCATTAAAAAGTATCCATAAAGTGAGCTTCCTCATACAGATTTTTGTTTTAAATTTGAATAGATAAGGTCCAAAAAAGTTTTCAAAAATTGGTTTGGGATCAAACCAATTTACCACATATAAATAAAGCATAAAACTTTAAAACATTTAGAGCGTAAGTATTTTTAACTCCATCAATGATGGTTTAAAAAAAGCGAAACGATCCTCAAAACTTATCAAGTTGATCGCACGCTTCTATTTGCTATAAAGGCATTGTAACATACATTTTTCGTGAAAGGTGTGACAAAATCTCTTTTTATTTCAACTTAGTCAATAAATATTTTGGGCATAATTTGGATTAAATAGAGTTTTTAGAGGGCGATTGGAAAAGAACCCATTCATTTCATTTGGTTTTATTAATGTTAAGAGTTAATTGCTTACATTTTAAGCAGTTTTGTTTTTAAGTTCATCAGTCATTTATTTTTTTTATATATTCATTTATTTATTTATTTACTTGCATTTGAAAAATGTACAATATACTATAATGGTGAGACAGGTAATTACTAAGTTACTCTCATGTAACACCAAAAAACAAAAATTCAATATGAGTAAATGTTAAAAAACTAAGTTATTTTATTAACCAATTTCATATCATTAAATTTACAAAATTAAAAGCATGTTTCAACAGTAAGCAAACTAATCAAGTGATAACAAAGGCAACTAAAATTAAGAACATACTTATGCTTGAATTTATAAAAAAAATTTAAATCATTTAAATTTAAAACTATGATTAACTGTTACTATAAAAAGTAAAATTCATGTCTGGTATTGTTCTAAAGTGTTTAAAGTAAAATCAAATAAACAGACATTAACACTGCTTGACACTGAATTCTAGCAAATAAATTTCTGCTCGCCTAGCAGCATTTCTTACATTTCAACAACGACCAATTTTATCTTGCCTAGCTCTATCTTATTTATTTGGACAAAAATTATTTTCGCCTATTAGGGTTTACACAAATAAATTATTTGCTTTTATTATTAAATTATTAGCCATTTCAATTTCACTGTATTCTTTAAACATATTAGTAATATTACTATTGTTACAACTAACAAGTAATATTACTATTGTTACAACTAAATAATAAAAAAATGTAAAAGAATCTTACAAATTGTGATATTTTCTAATCAAAGACTATATTTTAACTTAAGATTAATTAAAATGCATATCTTTTTTCAAGTTTATAAATATAAGTTGTTTATCAAAAATATAAAACAATATTTATTTACATCAATAAATTGTAATTTAACAATTTATTGATGTAAATAACAATAAATATTGTTGTCTAGATTGTTAAATTGTAATTTAACAATCTAGGCAACAATACTTAATCTAAAAGTGTAGAAAAATAAAGCAATATCAGTCAGTATATTTTATTCTAAAGTAATAAAAAAAAATAAAGGAATTCAAGAGTATGTGATTATTAATATTTTTTAAGAGAAAATATTCATATACAGAGAAATATAAAATATACTGGGATATAGGCATACTCATGTATATAAACTTATTTGTCAACAAATCACAGAAAGTTTTCCGTGTTAAATAAAATATATATCTAATAAAGAATAAACCTATAAAATCTAATAAAAATATAAAATAAATGATATAGCAAACTTACTAAAATCAGCAACGGTTCCAATGTCTAAAAAATTTCATTATTATTTACTCTTCTAATAATATTAATAATAATAATGATTGTTGTGTCGTTAATAAAACACTGTACTACACTTAAATATATATATATATATTCTTATAAGTAAGCCATCTTTAATATACATTTTTTATAGCCACGTATGTTTATGTATATCAAAACATTGTTCCTATTTGTCCGCATATGACTAAGGTTCATGGCTTCACATCCCTGAAACGTATTGGCTTTTGCCCCCTTGTCGACCGAGTACTTCTTCGATTCTAGTTAGGTTCTTCTTTAGTAACATGTAGTTCAGACATATCAGATTTATCACTATTGCATGGATCGATTTTTTCATTATTGGTATGATCATACCGCATACTGTCTTCATTATTCATAAGTATACTAGGCTCATTTAGGCGTTTGTTTATTTGGTCACAGTGTGCTAACGTACCCGAAGAGTTATTCCTTAATATGATCGCAGTGTTTAGGCCTGCCTAAGAGATGAATGAGGCAGGTTCAGGTTTGGAATCTGGTTTTTGACGGTACCATAAAGGTGTCCCACTTTCAAAACTCATGAGAGGGGATCTCAACTG